ATTCCACTAATTAAAAACAGTCTCATAATTGGCAAATATAAAAGCTGCAACTCGCAACAATGTTCTAAAGCATAATCCACATAGGCACCTTTCTTCTAAATCGAAATATCTTTCACATTTCTCCTCTATGATACAATGTTCTCATCAACAACATCGAGGTCTAATTAATTGGAAATACACGTAAATACACGTATCGCTATACTACCACAGATGACATCAAATTAAAAACCAAGATAAATTACTTTACGAGCTAAGAATACTTCGATCGAAGAATTTTTCTGTAACTCATTGACATTTTATCGTATTTTAACTATTTCATGCTCCATCCTTATATCCTCTTTTCTCTCGTTTTTATACCATATTTACATGCAATTCATACCGTGTTACGTTATTATCATCGAGTATTTCAACACATTTCTTTCACCCTATTCGAAAACCCGATCGATAATTCATACAACGTCATGAATATTTAACTCCATATTTTATAATCGTGAAGAACATTAAATTTCAACGAGCATTTCATTCAATCACAATCCCCAATATTTTCGAAATGCGCTTGGACGGTCAAAAAGTTACATTTTTCTCGTAATAAATGGCCATCTTTTATTCTTGCAAAATGGCCAGAAACCGAATAGGGAACCACGTTTCGTTATCCTTATGCTTTTTTCATGGAGATCGCTTTATCTCGACCTTTAATTCATTCACAAATGGCGGAAGAGATGAATGGCGGAGAAAAGGTGTTTTTTTTTAATCGCTTGACAATATCGCTCTAGTTTTCTTCTTTATTTTATCATTGAAACAAGATTCCATTCGAGAATGTTTAAAAAATATTATACTTTTGTTTCTTGTAGTTATAGTTTTCGATAATATGATACTTTTAAACGTAATTCTATAACAAAAACAAATTTTATATTTATTTCTATTATTGTGCTGCTATATAAATGTATACGTTATAAGTTTTTTTCATTAATTATATCTTGTGAAAAGTTGTTTTGGGGAAACATAACCTTACTTTGTGATAAAATATATAAAGTATCAGCTCATAACTTATAAACTTTTCTTATTATTGTTATTTGAGATTTTTTATTTGTAAGAAATTTTCCGCCCATAAGTAAAACATTAAATTATAAAAATGATATATAAATGAAAATGTTTATTTTAAGGATAATAGCTGATAAAAATTATAATAAATTCTAATATATTTATTAAGTTTAAAGAACGAAAGAATAGCAAAATGTTTTATTGCAAATGTTGATTGCAAATATTATTGAATTATATTAGAAATTTGAATACTTAATGGTTGTTCAAATATTATTCATTTTACAACTTGCCATAAGCGCAGATCACTATTCAATTTACATTAAATTTTTTGTTAAGATTCAAATTTCTTTTTCTTCAATTTAAAAAATTAATAAAAATATGACATTTTTAAAATTTTCTTCGATTGAAATCTTGTTCTAACAATGAAATAATATTTTTATAACAAGCTTAAAGCGATATTGTCAAAATTGAAAAGCTTATAAACAAATTTATCAATAAAGAACAATAGAATTATCAATTACAGAATAATTCTATCGACAAAATTTCTATTAAAAATAGAAATTCATTTTTCTGAATTCGTGTAAAAGTCGAGTAAACGAAATGGACATTTTTCTGCCAAGCTATCAACGTTGCTTTTTACCAGATGCATAGGATTAATATCTAATTATGATTCCTTTATTTTTGATAATTCGATAATTCGGAAGTGGAACTAACGTTATACACGATGTTAAAAAAAAAAAAAGGTTCCAATCTTCAAAAATATTCATTAAAAGGAGGAAAAAGTATTCCATCAACATACAAACCTGGAACCAAATTTTTCAACATAAAAATTATTTTTATCATTCAACCAACATCGTGAGTGAATTTCTTCGCAATTGAATGTGAACAAATACAAATTCAAGCTTGTCATAATTATTATTAATATTAATTCGTATTAGCAAGGGATCATTGCATACACGCAAACGAAGTGTAAATTTTCATTGATGTAATATCGTATGTAGAAAACGTTATTTCAATTCACATCCATTTATTATTCGAAATAATTCATTTTGTGTATACCCTTGCCAATGGTCTTTTACTTTTACTCTACGAAACGATCTCTGTTAATATTAATAATTTTGTTGGAAATCTCGAAGAAATTCATTCGCGACGTCAATGATGAGAAATCAACTTTGCGTTCGACTGTTGATAAAACAGTTTTTCCTCTTTTTGATAATTATTATACACTTTCGAAATCTTGGTCCCTTTTTTTCAACCGTACGTACACGAATTTTAGACCGATTAGATTTGTTTTTGGGATATGATTTGTTACGTATTTTCGCGTAGAAGCACGAAAGGAAGGTGGAAAGAAAATATAAATTTTTCAACGATAAAACCGGAATCGAAAGAAGACAAAGGGAGCGAGAATAAATTCGTTTTGCTCGAAATTCTTTTTTTTTTTTACATTCAATCCTTCGTTTTCGCTACACAGTTAGCTTATAAGCGATGCTTCCATGAAACATGCTCGATCATTTTCATGCGATGTATGCATATAGATATGTGTGTGTGTGTGTGTGTGTGTGTGTACGTTGACGAATGAAAAGAACATCGAACTTCGTAGCGTTCCTTTTCGCATTTTAGAACAGAAATTTTAATTCGATAAGAGTTATATTCAATTACGAAAAACGCTGTGATGACACATATTTGAAAAAGAAAAAAAATTCCTGGAATAATATTTAAAAATTTTATATACTTCTTCAATTTCTGCTATTTTTATAATTTTTTTTTTTTTAATTAATTCGAACAACAGTTACTATGTAGTTACACAGTGTGTTACACAGACCTGTTATAAATAACTGGATTGAAAATCTAATCAGATAAACTGACACGTACCGTACAAAATCCTGGATGAAAGAGAAAAATTACAAAAGTGGTTAAAAAGGCATATTTCACGCGTGAAATATTTGAGTTTCTTTGGTATCTAATTTAATGAAAAAAAAAAAAAATCTTTAAGATCATTAAGAAAGTTATCTCAATCGTATTTTCTTTCTAATAATTGAAAAAAAAAAAAAAAAAAAGAAAAGAAAAGAAATACACTTCATATCGTTCAGCGTATCGTTCGAAAATTGTTCCATAATTTGTCCCTCATGTGTCATGTACACAGTGACAGCCCTGAAGAAACATGGAAACCTAAATTATTTATACGACGGATAGCGGCATTTCTTCAAAAGAAATAATGAAATCCCCGCGACAAAATGTTTCGATCTTTCGATCGAGGTGCAAGTGTCAAAAGAGGCGCCTGACCGGGTTTGGATACGCTCCGAAGCAGATTCTTTTCACCTCGATTCAAAGTTGGCGATCGAGGCATCCTTTGAAACCTTCGACGTATCGCTCTTTCAAGTCGTTCGTCGAAGCGAGGATCGGACTAACATTCTTAATAAGAAACATTCACACAAGATGAAAGAAAGAAAGAAAGAAAGTAAAAGGGCAGGCCGATATATATATATATTTCAAGTAATAATCGCGTATTTAAAAGCAAAAAAAAAAAAAAAAAGTAAATAAATCGACGAGAGGTCTCTTAATAAAAAAAATGATTAGTAAAAAACATTATCGGGGCACAATCCGTCTGAATTTCCTACGATAATTCAGATCCTCGCAAAAACGACGACGCGAGCCGTATTTTAATAGATCGCGTTGAATATAATGCGAGCCTGTAGGATCGTTCGAGCACACCGCACAAAGTTACATATATATAGTATATAAGTATATATATATATATATATATATATATATGTATAAAAACGAGCTGACCGTACGATATCACGACGAATTGTCAATCAAAATAACACTGCAGTCCACATCAAGTAACAATATTGAAATATTGTATATATATTTATATATATGTATAATATATATATAGATAATATATAAATATGACGTATGACGTCCAAGACCAGCGCATCGCAGAAACGATAACGGGTAATTAAGGTGGCATTCTCATTGATCGAACATATATATAATAAAAAAAAAAAAAAACAAAAAGTGGTAAAAAAAACGAAAGGAAGATAAACTGGGAAAGACCGATCATATATATATATATATATGAGACGAGCAAAAAAGGTTCAATCTTGGCGATCGTGCTCGTTGCTGTTGCGTGGCACCTTAAAACCGTCATAGGTCCAGGAGCCTAACTTCAAAACACAGGTCTGTACGTCGTACGGAAAGAACTCAACGTCGATGGAGCAGGAGGATTTATATACGGCCGGCGGTTGCCAGACGACCAATCCCGAATAGTAGACCGTGGCCTTGGTCATCAGCGTCACCTCGTAGTTCCCGTCGGCGCTGGAATCACCGAAGAAACGAGCCGAGCGTGATCACGATTGGCTCCCCTCTTTTCAAGAGCGCCGGATGCTGCCCGGCTGCACAACAATTCTCTGCCTCGCCCTTTCAACATTCGCAGAATGCCATCTACTCTACTCCTCTCCGTAATAATAATTTTTCGAACATTTCCCCCTTCGCTTTCCATTTTCTCGTTCAACTCGCATCATCTACGCTCGCTGTTAATTCTTAAGCTCGTAAATCTTCTTTCTCTCTCCTTCGAAGCGTATTTATATATACGTATACACTTTTTTCGTTCGCGTTGAAAAAAAAAAAAAAAAAAGAAAAAAAATGAAGAAGAAGAAAAAGGTTGGAGAAAAGCTGGCAGCATCCGTCTCCTGGCGTGGGTTTCCCCCTCAACAACGAGGCTCGAAATCTAGAAAATATTCAAGATATTGCATATCCGGCGAGGAGTATGGAAATCCACGCGACGAGCCGATCGTTCGGGTCTAATCTAGAAATCTTAAGGGCTATGATGAAGGTGGATCCGGTCCGTCCCCGACGCATCACGAGCGGTCGTTCCACGTCGGGGAGGGGGGAGGAGTCGGGTCCACCACCGTTTTCTATCTGCCACGAACTTAGCGGCTACCATGCAAGTTTACCTTAAAGCCGTCATAGGTCCACGAACCGAACTTGAGGACACAGGTCTGCTCGTCGAATGGGAAGTACTCCACGTCGATCTCGCAGGATGATTTATAAATGGCGGGGGGCTTCCACTCGACCAATCCTTGATGGTAGATGGTGGCCTTCGTGGCCAAGGTCACCTCGAAGTTGCCGTCCGCGCTGCGAGCGAGCACATTAGTGGTTCTGGGCGCTGCGGCGGTCGAGCTTACTTTGTACTTCCGATTCGATACCAAGCCGTTTTTTTTTAATTTTTTTTATTTTCTTTTCCTCCACTTTTTCTCTCTCCCCTTTCTCTCTCTCTTCTCTCCTCTCTCTCTCTCTCTCTCTCTCTCTC